TTTGTAGTTATGAAAGGAAGAAATTTTTGAACTCCAATTCATTCCCTCTTGAAGTGCATTGAGTCAACAAAATTATTAATGTTGCTTTCAATTATATAAAATTCTTTATTTTTAAATTTAAAAGAAACAAGTCTAATGTTTTTTGTCCCAAGCGACTCTTATTTAAAGTATTGCAAGTGGCTATTTTTTCTCTAAAAGCCAATACTAAAATATGTAATTATTTGTGCAAGAGGATACTGTTAATAATAATTTTGAAGGTAGAAAAGAGAGCAAGTACGAATTTTGATGGGAGCAATAATTTTTTATTTTCGTTGATGAAACACGTAGCACCATCAGAAAAATACCATGAAATTTTATGGGATCACAAAAACAATGGAACAAAGAAACATAAACTATTGCATTTAACGATATTAGGGGAGAGATAAATGATGTTGGGTGAGGGAGATAAATGTTACGAAAAATTAAAGTAGAGGGAATATAACAGTATGATTTGAAAGAGTAGATGGAGAATTTTCAATGATTTGTAAGTACATGGAAAGATAATGAATAGAAATTAAAAATGAAGGGATTATAGTTGGCTTTAACCTCAATAATTAAAACTGTACTTTATCAAAATAAGAAAGAGAAGAACATACATGCACCAGCTTTAGTTGGTGTTTGTTTTAACTTTTTACCAACAGCTATTAGTTGGTGATTTTAATCAAATGTAGGGGTGTTTGTGGTGTGAATGGGATTGAATTTTAATATTTTTAAAGCCAAGTTAATTTAATCGATTAATAAAATTTATAAACCAATCTAATCTACTATTACACTATAAATAAACCAATTCAATTTGGATAGGATTGGTGTGATTTTAGTGGTATTTGTCAGTTTTTAATATTATTTTAAATATATTTGACTAGACAAAAAATCAAAGTATCAAGCTATAGAAAATACAATTATAAGGCACAATAATATCATAGACAACAAAATGATAATTCTAACTATTAGATTGAAGTAAGAATAAAGAAGAAGAAAAAAAAAAAAGAGTAAGAATTAATAAGGTAACCAAAACATGTAAACCCTCACTATTATTGCTCAAGAAAGTAAAGAGTTCCAAAAGTAGAGCTTTTGTTTTTATAGGACAAGAAATGAAAATTTAATATACAATTTGTATACAAAAATAAAATTCTAAAAATATATTTATAAAAAAAATGCAAAAATAAAAATATTATATTATTTAATAAAGTTATTTTATAATAAAGCATTTCAGTTAATTTAAAAGTAAATTTCAAACCAAATTATTTATATTGATTTAAAAATTTTATAATTCAAATTAACCCAAATTAATGTTGGTTTAGATTGACTTTTAATTGGATTGGATTAGTTTTGGTT